AATAGGTGTCATGGCGTGACTCTAGCCTCACTTTGAAAAAAAAAAAAAATTGCGGCGGCATGGGAAGTCTTAGGGCGGTTGCGTTACCTGGTTGACTCTACGGAGGGGCGACACGTCCACGGCCTGTCTCCTGACTGTACCGGCGCGGCCAATACGGGTGGAGTCCTCACGGGGTCCACTGTTTATGATGGCGTTCACCAAGACTTGGAGGGGATTCTACAACAAAATACAACCACATGTCATTGTTAGAAACCATCCAGTCATGAATGTTAGGAAATAATTGATGCAGTCCTTCTGCTAAAAATGTTAACTCCTTAAATAGTTCATTGGCGCCAAGATGCCACCAAATACTTTCATTGCTCTCACCCGAGTACAAAAACAAATGCAAAGCTTTTTTTTTTTTTTAAACGCACGGGGTCCACTGTTTATGATGGCGTTCACCAAGACTTGGAGGGGATTCTACAACAAAATACAACCACATGTCATTGTTAGAAACCATCCAGTCATGAATGTTAGGAAATAATTGATGCAGTCCTTCTGCTAAAAATGTTAACTCCTTAAATAGTTCATTGGCGCCAAGATGCCACCAAATACTTTCATTGCTCTCACCCGAGTACAAAAACAAATGCAAAGCTTTTTTTTTTTTTAACGTGAATAATGGGACAGAGTCTAAAAACCTGGTCATCTAACAGGTAATGTATCCAAGCTGGTGATTGGCCGAGCCACTGGAGCCAACAGCCAATGAATAAGCAGGGATATTTTCTCTGCGAGCACTCTAGCACAACCAGGACAACGATGCAATGTCAAAGTGTGACTCTAGCCTCGCTTTGCAGAGATGTCATTGAAAGCAAACTTGATTCTTTCAATTGGGAACCAAATTAAGGATTCGGCACCTCTCCGGTCAACAGGTGGATGATCTCGAAGGCGTGCTTGACGATGCGCACGGTCATCAGCTTCTTGCCGTTGTTGCGGCCGTGCATCATCATGGAGTTGGTCAGACGCTCCACGATGGGGCACTGGGCCTTGCGGAAACGCTTGGCGGCATAGCGGCCGCCAGAGTGCGGCAGGTACTTGGCGTACTTCTCCTTTACGGCAATGTAGTCCTGCAACCCAAAAGAGCAATTAAACAACTTAAGCACGCTGGAGTTCATTTCTCGACATTTGAGGTGCCTCTTAAACAGGTCGTGTGTCTAAGCTGGTGATTGGCTGAACCACTGGAGACGACAGCCAACGAATAAGCAGAGACGTTATTCTGCGAGTGCTCTAGCACACCAGGACAACAACACAACGCCAAGGTGTGACTCTAGCCTCGCTTTGGTCAACAAAAAGTTGAACGAAGTGCTACGCTCACCTGCAGGGAGATGTCATTGATCTGGACATCATCGGTGCTCCACTTGCCAAACAGCTTGATCTCAGGAGTCTCAGCCACTGCCGGTGCAGTCTCCCACTCAGTCACTGTGCACAGTAAAATGATTTAATACTCTGCTCACCTGCTATATAGTGGTTCATGGGGATTTTCAAATGAAAACGGTATTTGGGAAACTGCGCATAACCAAAAGGGTACAGTGGTTCAAAATTGTCTGAAGCTTGCCGAGAGGGCTAAAACCTATGTTTGAATTAATTGGATGACTATACATCACTTAACACGTTACCCAGGTGGCGCGGCAACTACATAAAGTTCAAAGAGCAACGACTGAATGACTGTCTTTTCCAAGCAGGGCCTTCATGGACGCGCGTCTCCCAGCACGCTAGCCATTAACTTTAAAACAAGGCATCGCAAACGACTTCCAACAAATTTAAGGTGAGACTTGCCAACTATGTTACAGTAATAGCAGGAGCGTAATAACAATGGAGAACGTAGAGTGAAAGGTGGCTAGCCGCTCGTTAGCTAGCTTCCACATGGGCTAAAATTTAGCAACATGCTAGCGCTTAGCATTGTTATGCAGACGAAAAACTTTCGGGGGAAATTAGGACATTCCACGGCAATGCTATGCACGTCTCAGCTTTTGGAAACACCAAGAGTTTATTTTATTTCGATTGATGCCGCAACACTTGTTTTGTGGGTTCTAAAATGGAACGAAAAATGTAGATTTCACTCACTGGTGTCTGACGGTCCGAAGCACACTTCTCAGAGGCGGAAAAGGGCCTTCAAGCAGCGATGCTCGCACATATCCGCTTGGATGGACGCGTTTTTCCGGTTCACGATGCATGTTGGGAAATGTATTTTTCTTACTTTGGTACTGTGCGGGTAAATGTTCAGCGTGATTGGCTACATTTCTTGATTGGATTTTTCATTATTTGATTCGCAGCAGTGCTCGTGTTTGTATGTACCGATGCATTATTTTCTATAAAGTATTGCTCAGATCACTTTTGAAGCATTTTATTGAGGAAAGACTGTAATTTAACACATATTTAAACCAATTAAAAGCCCCAAAATATCGGACAAATGCGTTGTGGGGTCTATTTATATTTTTAAAACATTTTTCCCCATAAAACCATGAAAGTGAGTCAAAAGAATAGATTGAAATGTTTTTCTTGAAAAATCTGAACCCTTTTACAATGTATAACTGTCATTAAAAAATGATTAAACCGTTGGTCGACAGCGCCCTGTCGTCTTCGGGTATTTCCGGGGCTGTGACGTCACAAAATCAAACAATTTAGGAGCACCTGTGGAATGCGGTTGTGTGCTCTTTGTGTTAAATGCTCTTCATGTGCTTTAGAAATTAAACAATAATTTATTTATTGAGTGACAGTTGGTTTCACTAATGGTGAAGGGTGTGGTAAAAGTTTCTTCAGCTTTCCACATAAAGAAGTACGTGACCAGTGGCGGCGTAGGGAAGAGGTGAGGAGTCATTAGCATGCACCTACGACACCGAATAATGGTGATTATGATTTGGGCCGTTGGAAAAAAAATGGCTGTAGTGTCATATGTGTTTATTCTGCCGACACGGCAAGCTGCCCGACACGGCAAATCGCTCTCAATTGAATGTACTGTGTTGTGTAGCACATGTAAGTTGTAAAGTATCTCTATGGTGTAGCGTCCTGGTCGTGGTCGGTTAATAAAACGTCACTTCCGGTAACCAGTCGGTTCGGAAAGACTCGGAATGAGTAATTAAAAGCCGATTTTAGCCGAACTGTGTTTGACAACTTCCAGAGGTGACGTGTATATATTACAGAACAAATTACCAAGGGAATAGGAATTGTAACACACTGAAAAATCTTTGCGATATGACTTTACAGGTCTTGGACGTTTACTGGTTCCCAAGCATTTTCCTTTTGAACAAATTTCGGAACAAAGAGGTTGGAGCAAGATGTTGGAGCAGCACATCCGTGAAGAACATCCCCAGGAAATCAGCTGACAGGTCAGAATCCAGTTACATGAAAATGTTTTTCTGCTGCTTCTTCTCTGAGCTGTTTAGAACAATACAGAATAACGTTCATAAATATATACTAAAATAATATTCAAGCCGTTTTTTTTTTAATCCTGTACTATTTGTGTACCAACACATTATTTAGAGAATTGGACCACTCAAAGCACATGTTTAAAAGCTTTTATTGAGGAAAGACGTTTAACACCTCTCTCCAGTAGATTACACAACATTTTAGGACAATGTCAAAATAGCTGTATCTGTTTATAATACTAAAAAGTACAACTTTGTCACTTGTAGAGGCAGACGATGAACATAATATCCCTTCAAACCAAAACAGTTATGAAAATGAGTTTGGGCAAGCATACAGTACATGATACAATGAATGCAAAATATTCCAACAAAATGACGTACAATTAAAAGCGTCAAACAGATCTTCTCACGTTCCCTTCTCGGTAAAACGTGTCCCTTTCATGCTTTAATTCATCTGTTGATAATTCCTTTTAGCAAGTGTAATACAAGTCCCTTCAAATCCACCCACGCTAAAAGTTCCTATGATGATCATCTTATCGACGGCCAATGTGCAAATCCTATCTGACAGAGGTGGCCAAGTATGCATTTCCATAATACTGCACTCTGGTTATTTATTTCAAGGCTCTATCCTTCCATTGTTTGAGCACGATCATTAGCACTTACGGTATAAGGACATACAACACTGAGGCATGTAGGGGGAAATTTAAGGCGTCATCTACTAAAACGGGTCCTACTCATAATATAGCTATCGTTAATGACAAGAAAACATGGGAAATCATAATATTTACCAAAAAGGGGAAAAAAAACGTTAAGTAGAAGTAAGGCAATGACACAAGATGACAGAATGTCACTCAGGCACTGCTGTGTCACTTTGTGCGTGACCAAGAATTATGACACACATGGAAATGATCCCTCCCAGATGTCCTCAACAATTCTTTCTGGAGTTGCTGCAAATAAATTATGCTTCTAGGGAATAGCTTAAATGCTGGTAAACCTATACATTTATGCATTTGCAATTTTTAAAGGTGATGTCGGGTGTTAGTTTGTGCTTTCGATGTCTTCTTACCCCCAAAAATCCCCAAATCAAAACAACTATGTATTAACCAGTTTGCACTGAAGACGGGCTCAGTTACAGCTGTACTTACTTTTTTTTTCATGAATTGTTTATATCGCTCGTTTAGAATTGTTCTTTTTTTCCCTTCTTTTAATCCAAACATTTTCTCTAAAATAAAACATTTGGTTTTCGTTCTGGGCCGTGGAACAATGCACTTTTAGCAGGGTCCTCATGGGTGCATGTGAGTTCGCCCAACCAGTCTACATGTGCTTTTGTGGATTTGGAGAAGGCATTCAAAATTGTTTGCTCAGCAGCGTAAGAATACTTTGTCACGTGGCACAGCAAAGCTATCGCTGTACTTGGTTTTAGTTTTTCCATTTGTTTTTGACTTGACTACTAGATCAGCAGAGATTAGCGATAGACCACGACGCAGTCCGACTGACTTGGACATTTGGATTGCGTCGCCGCTGAAGGAACGTACCCCCATTGTAATTCCGAGGACACCCCCCCCCCCCCCCCCCCGGGGCCGGGTTCATAAAAATTTTTAAAGGTGATGTCGGGTGTTAGTTTGTGCTTTCGATGTCTTCTTACCCCCAAAAATCCCCAAATCAAAACAACTATGTATTAACCAGTTTGCACTGAAGACGGGCTCAGTTACAGCTGTACTTACTTTTTTTTTCATGAATTGTTTATATCGCTCGTTTAGAATTGTTCTTTTTTTCCCTTCTTTTAATCCAAACATTTTCTCTAAAATAAAACATTTGGTTTTCGTTCTGGGCCGTGGAACAATGCACTTTTAGCAGGGTCCTCATGGGTGCATGTGAGTTCGCCCAACCAGTCTACATGTGCTTTTGTGGATTTGGAGAAGGCATTCAAAATTGTTTGCTCAGCAGCGTAAGAATACTTTGTCACGTGGCACAGCAAAGCTATCGCTGTACTTGGTTTTAGTTTTTCCATTTGTTTTTGACTTGACTACTAGATCAGCAGAGATTAGCGATAGACCACGACGCAGTCCGACTGACTTGGACATTTGGATTGCGTCGCCGCTGAAGGAACGTACCCCCATTGTAATTCCGAGGACACCCCCCCCCCGCCCCCCGTGGAGCTGATTTCATAAAAATGTTGACGTTTTGGCTCTAAACCAGCCACTTCTCCATGCAAGTGTGAAACACAGTCTCATTTGAGTGCCACCAGACATGTTGGACGTATGGAACAGAACACAAGATCAGGTCGCCACGAGCCGCCAGCGTCTTCAGACCAAAGATATCCTTTAAGTAGACCTGGATCAAGAAAATGGAGTTTTAGTTCTTCTGGGTTAGCTTTTCTCCAGTTCCTTCTAATCACTCGCGGCGAAAACAATTAGACTGCAACTTTAGTGTCATGCAAAGCACAATCCATTAAATAGCAATGGCGCAATATGAAAAATAAGCGTTTAAGGCCATACTGTGTCAATATTTTACTCACGCCTTGTCGCTGCATCTCAACAACGGTCTCATTGTCGTCGAAGAATCCAAACTGACTAAAAGACAAGCGGAACACAGAATGTGTGTGTGATCATCACATGAGTGTCATCTGTTCATCCACATGCAAAGGGGGGGGGGACAAGTATTCTCTGAAAACACTTTTTGACTTTAAAAGCAGAAGTAATGTGTGGAAAAGAGTTTAGTCCAAACATTGAACTCACCTGGACTGCCAGGGAGTGATGACTCCGTCATCTGGCCCTCCAACAAGCACCAGCTTGTTGAGTCTTAAGAAGTTCTTCTTCCATTCTGCGGGATGGGAGAGGACATATATGTTTCGTGTGTGTGTGTGTGTGTGTGTGTGTGTGTGTGTGTGTGTGTGTGTGTGTGTGTGTGTGTGTACAAAAAACTTATATCTCCAAAGGACACCATGTTGTCGTTTCTGACTTTTGTGGTTACTGGGTACTGATCAATATGTGTCACATAGTCAAAATCACTTGCAGGCAATCTGATCTCCACCGACCGAACCTCAGGATGAATTCAAAGAAGAGGAATTCGCTGACCTGTAGAATTTGGATTGGGTCTGTCGCTGTTGAGTAGGGCCAGATAATCGCTGCTGTTGGTGTACATGTCCCTGTGGTGGGGGTCTGGGGACAGAAAGAGGCAACAAATTTATCTACCGCGTTCAAACGGTCTTTTGAAATAGACACTCAAAAGCAGGGCTGAACCATTTTGAAAACTATTCTACTACAGTGGTACCTCTACTACTCACGAAATTAATTGGTTCCGGAAGAGGTTTCTAAACAAGAACATTTTCTAAATAGAGACGCGTTTTCCATGTAAATGCCCTAATTCGTTCCAAGCCCCCCTCAAAATTCAGACATAAATGTTTTCCAAAGCATAAAAATGCATCAAAATATGTAACAAATACATGTTACAAATTAGATTATTGAACAATATATGAGAGTTGTGCATAATGTAAAAAAAGCAAAGAATAAAAATGATGGTCATTTAACTTTCAACTGCGTCCTCATCGTTTTTTGTCCTCTTTAGTTCATGTTCGCTCTCAGAAGTGGGTTTTGCCTGGCGTTTTGTAAAGAACCGATCCAAGGACGCTTGCTTTTGTCAGTTTTTAAGAATCCTCCGAAAATGTCCAAGGCAAACATCAGCGTCGTGAGCGATTGCCCGACTGGTGAACACTTTTTCTGGGTGATTCACATTTATGTAAAACTATCGGAACGCCTCATGGTTTGAGAGGCGAATGACGAGGCCGCTGCATCGACACATTTTTATTTATCTATCTACACACATACGGGAAAGGTCCCTCATAGCCAATGGGATGCCAGGATGATGCTGGGTAATAGCCAATGGCAGAGCAGCTCCAAGTATGTTGCGTTCAGTAAACTCAGAGCTGCATGTTGCAACCCATACTGTATTTTTACCTTTCGTATCTTGAAATTTCTTTCGTAACTCGAGGCAATATTTTCATGTTGAGGCGTTTCATAACTTGAAAACTTCATATGAAGAGACGTTC